ATGTTGAGCAAAAGCACTGATATGACATGATCCTGATTTTCAAGCTAAGTCTTATTGAATTTTTTACCATGAAAATCATGCTGATATACACATTTGAAATAAATTAGGACATAGTAAGACAATGTATTTTTTCTTATTATTAGTCAGTTTGAATATATTGTGTTTGCTAATTTGCTGATACACATTCGAAATAAATTAGGACATAGTCAAAAAAAGAAAAAGAAAAAAGAAAAGAAAGAAAATTTGCCAGGTCTAAAGAATGAAATGTAAAATCAAATACAACAGGCTTGTGGGATCCCAAAATTACAACAGATCCCCACCAAGGCTCATTATACTGAAAATGCCTAGCATACAGAATAAGGATAGAATTTCAAAGCCCACAAGAGAAAAGTATCAGATTACATATATGGGGAAACCAATTTGGATCTCAACTAATTTCTCAACCCAGACCCTCAAAGCTAAGAGGTCCTAAAACATACACCAAACTCTGAAAGAAAATGGATGCCAACCAAGAGTTTTACAGCCAGCAAAATTAAGCTTCAGATTTGAAGATGAAATAAAAACCTTCCATGATAAACAAAAGTTAAAAGAATTCACAACTAGAAAGCCTGGACTACATAACATTCTCAGCAAAATATTCCATGAGGAGGAAATTTTTTTTAAAAATTGAAAACCATCAGGGGGAGGAATTACACTAAAGGAAAAGACAATCAAAGGAGAAACTAAGTCAAATTAAAAAACTGAAATAAACCAAAATGAATGGAATATAAATCATATCTCAATAATAACCCTAAATGTTAATGGCCTAAACTCATCAATTGACAGACATAGACTGGCAGACTGGATTAGAAAACAAGACCCATCAATATGCTGTCTCCAAGAGACTCACATCACAGGCAAAGACATTCACAAATTGAAGGTGAAAGGATAGAAAAAAAATATCACTATATGGACCACATAAACAACCCCTATCTCTCACCTGCACAAAACTCAACTCAAAGTCAATCAAAGACTTAGGCACTAGAACAAAGACCCTGAACCTGCTAGAAGAAAAAGTAGGCCTAAATATTCATCATGTTGGGTTAGGAACCAACTTCCTTAACAAGACTCCTAAAGCACCAGAAGTAAAATCAAGAATCAATAAATGGAATGGATTCAAACTAAAAAGCTTCTTTTCAGCAAACATTCAATAATGTAAAGAGAGAACCTAAAGAATTGGAGAAAATCTTTACCATATGCACCTCAGATAGAGCACTATTCTTCAGAATATAGAGAATTCAAAAAACTTAACACCAAAAATCCAAATAACCCAGTCAATTAATGGGCAAAGGAACTGAACAGACAATTCAAAAAAGAAGAAATATGAGTGGTCAACAAATGTATGAAAAAAATGTGCAACATCTCTTAGCAATTAGAAAAATGCAATTTAAAACTAAGATTTTTATCTCACTTTAGTCAGAATGGCAATTATCAATACAAGCAATAATAAATATTGGCAAGGATGTGGAGAAAAAGGTTACACTCATACATTTCTGGTGGGACTGCAAATTGTCGCAACCACTCTTGAAAGCAGTATAGAGATTCCTCAGAAAACTTGGAATGGAACCACCATTTGACCCAGCTATCCCACTCCTCAGTTTATACCTAATGGGCTTAAAAGCAGTGTATTACAGTGATGCAGCCACATCAATGTTTATAGCAGCTCAATTCACAATAACCAAACTATGGAACCAACTTAGGTGCCCTTCAACAGATGAATGAATAAAGAAATTGTGTTATATATACATAATGAAATATTACTCAGCCTTAAAGAAAATGAAATTATGGCATTTACAGGTAAATGGACAGAGCTGGAAAATATCATGCTAAGCAAAATAAGCCAATCCCCAAAAATCAAAGGCTGAATATTTTCTATGATATGTGGATGCTAATTCACAATAGGGGGTAGGTGGCACTAGGGAAAAATAGAGGTACTTTGGATTAGGCAGAGGGAAGTGAAGGGAAGGGAGGGGTTGTGGGGAAGGAAGGTTAGTAGAATGAACTGACCATTATTTCCCTATGTATATATATATATGATTACACGACTGGCATGATTCTACATCATGTAAAACCAGAGAATGAGAAGTTATACTCCATTTATGTTTGATGTGTTAAAATGCATTCTATTATCATGTATAACTAATTAGAACAAATTTTTAAAAGGGAAGTTTACTCAACTACAGACTTGAAAATGGTAATGAATTCTGGAGACAGACCTTCCAGAGCATAGAGCAATATGATCTTTCAAGCTCAGGTCTGAAGTTTACAGCTGCTCTCAATGATTGTCATTAAATCTTCCTTTTGCTTAGAATTATCCAAGCAAAGCAAGTGATCAGCACCTATCTTTAAAATGAAATAAAAGGAGGTGGACAAGGAAGGGAGGAAGAAGAGAAGGAAGAGAACAAAGTAGAAAACGAGGAGGAAGAAGAAAAAGAAGCTGACATCAACAACACCTGGAAATACAGTCCCCAACAGAGAAATGGCCTTTCTCTGCATCTTAGTGATAAACCAGCCCATGTGGGCCCTGCCATGTTCTCACTTAGAGGGGCACCCCCACTAGCAAACTGAGGCCCACCACTCTGGCCTGGGAACCAGCAGCTGCTAGAAATATCAGTCCAGCACACTTGAACATGTTGATTTTCTACCTAATTCCCTTCTTTGATCACTCTAACATGTTTAGCCTGCTCCAATACTCCCAGCCTCTGCTATCGCTTCATTCTCTCCTATCCAATTCATCTCTCACTCACTGATTAATTCAACAACTAACCTCTATATTGTGTTGGGTATTGGATGTTCTCAAAATGAAGTCCCTTTTCTGATATGTGGAGAATGGGTCACAGACAAAGAAGACCACCTAGATGTCCCTTAACTTCCCATTTTTAAGAGGTTACATTTACTTTGTAGCATTTCAATAAAACTCATCTTTCCCTGCCGCAGTCTGGCTGGGCACAAAATCATGAGCCACTCACAGCCTTGTAGATTCAAACAGCAATTCCTTATTCCCGTACTGTCACCTGCACTCTACACGCACGTTCTGGGCAAAATCCACACTTTCCACCAGGCTCTGAATCCCAAATACTCTCTGAATCCTGCGAGAACTCAACGGGAACTCAAGGCGCCTGAGGCAGCAGGATACGCCCTATTCCCAGCAGGAATCACCTTAAACCTGGAACCGTCCTAAACCCTGATCCGCCCTAAACCCTGATCCACCCTAAATCCGGATCCGCCCTGGTCCTTGAGCAAGGTCACCTTTCATGCAAAGTCACTGCAAATGACCTGGGTCCACAATGGAGAGTCCTTCCTCTAAGCAACATGGGGTAGGCTGACAAGGAAATTGCCATGTGTCGTACCTACTTAGCTATGGCTCTCAGCATTTCCCCAAAAAATAAACTAATTAAAATAAAATATAATTTGGTTATCTCAAGTCCTTTCCATTTTGTGTATGTATGTGCGCACACGTGCGCACACCAGGGATTGAAACTCAGGGGCACTCAACCACTGAGTCACATCTCCAGACCTATTTTTTATGTTATTTAGAGACTGGGTCTCACTGAGTTGCTTAGCGCTTCACCATTGCTGTGGCTGGCTTCAAACTCATGATTCTCCTGTCTCAGCCTCCTGAGCTGCTGGGATTACACCTTTCCATTTTTAATCAGGTTATTTGGAGTTTTGCTGCTATTCTAGAGGTTTAGTTCTTTATATGTTAGATATTAACCCTTATGAAATAGATATTTCTCTACTGAAGATATACAAGGAACACATGAAAAGATGCTTAACATCACTAATCATTGGACAAAGGCAAATCACACTACAAAGAGAAATAATAACAAAACCAGAAAATAACAAATGTTGGTAAGGATACAAAGAAATCAATATTTTTGTGCACTGTTGGCAGGATTGTAAAACGGGGCCACCATTAGGAAAAACAGCATGAATATTTCTTTAGAGTTAAAAACAGAATTACCATATGATACAACAAACCCACCTTGGGGTATATATTCAATAAAATTAATAGGTACATGTATGACTGCACATATGGTGCGATGCTACATAGTGTACAACCAGAGAAATGAAAAATTGTGCTGCAATTGTGTACAATGAATCAAAATGCATTCTGCTGTCATACCTAATTAATTAGTAAAAATTATTTTAGTTTTATTCAGAAAATCTAAAAAATAAGTAAATAATGAAATTTTCAATCCTCTCAAATGCATGCAAATTTTCTTTCATATTTACTGAATTGGGAAATTCATGAAAAGCAGCAAAGTAGGTGCTCACTAAGAATTTAATTTCTTGGGCTGGGGATGTGGCTCAAATGGTAGCGTACTCGCCTGGCATGCGTGGGGCACTGGGTTCGATCCTCAGCACCACATAAAAATAAAATAAAGATATTGTGTCCACCTAAAACTAAAAAATAAATATTAAAAAATAAAAAAGGATTTAATTTCTTCACCTTCCCTCCATTCCCTTTTCTTCTACTTAGTCTGTCCCCAACTCAAAATACATGCAATGAATCAAGACAGTAAAGAAAAGAAGAATAAGGTGTTCTGCTCTTCTGTTCCCTTTGGAGTTCTCCACAACAGGTAGAGCAATTTTAGGAACAATCAGAGAAAACCTGGAGAATACCTCAAGGCCAGCCTTTGTGGGAACTAGATTATTTCTTCCATTTCAGGCTCAAGATGGTAGCTTTACCAGATACAGTAAGAAAACATCTTTGTACTCAAGACCTTCAAAACCAAATAAGAGGGCAGAAGGTGGAGCTCAGTGGTATAATACTTTGTCCAGCATGCACAAGGCCCAGGATGCAATCCCCAGAGCCACAAAAAACACAAATAATAATAATTTAAATAATAAAATATCATTATGTTCTCTCACATTCAAAATTAATGTACCAGAACCATTCTCAAATTAAAGGTAGCAAAAATAAAGAGACAATACACACATAACACATATTTTTCTTTACTAACCAATGAAACAAATAACAATAAAACATATCTTATAAATTAATAGCTTATTCCATTAGGAAATACTTCATTCTACAATCTCTTTGAACATATCTTCCATCAGTTTCATCATATTTTGTTTCTTCACTTCTATTTGGGTGAAAAACCCCATAATAAACTATAAGAAAAATAATCCCAAGGAGAAGAGAAAGAACTAAAGTGATACTGATAGGTACAAAGTAATCTGAATTAAAAATAGAAAGTGGATAAACCCAGAACCCAATCAATATACCCAGTGTGGTCAGCACTCTTACAACATAATAAAAAGACATTGGGCATTTAGTATTATGTCCCTTAATATTAAAAAATGTAAAGACAAGAATAAATCCAACAACAATTCTATATAAGAATTCCATACTTTTGGAATTACAAAACTGAGTTTGTTCTTTACATGCCCATATTAAACCTACAATCCAAAGTAATAACAACATAAATAATCCAACCTTATCATTTACAAACAATAGAAGTACAACACTAAGCATCCAAGACAATAATGTAAACAACTTGTAAAAGAGATAGGTGGCTTTGGGACAGAATCCATTAAGGAGATTTTTATCAGGCAAGGATTTTCTTAAAGCTATTTGAAAATCAACAGTTGACCAAGAAATGGCACAGCAAGAAAGCATGATAGCTGCATCTACAAAACAAAAAATAAAAAAGACCTATTGTTACAGGAATAGTAATAGCAATATTATATTACTAGATGCCATAAATGCTTTATCTGTATACACAGAGTCTCACAAACACATTCAGGCAATTTACTTATCTAATCCTTGGAGATAATATTCCCATATTACATGTGAGGGAACTGGAGCTTGACAAAATATATTACTTGGTCAAAGTCACATAACTAAAAAATTATAGAACTGAAATTTGAATCTAAATTTTCTTGATTCCAAAGTTGGTATACTAATCCACTACCATCAGGCTGCTTTGAAGTGCTTCTGAATAATTCACTGAACAAATTTTATTAAGCAATTGGAATAATGGGAACTGCATACTCTGGTTGTTTAAAAACAAGTATAATCCTAAGTTTTCTCGACATTTTAATTTTGACCTTGAATATATACCTAATTCACAAGGTACAGCTTCATGGTGCAAAGAAGAGGAGCAGTTAAAAAGAAAATTTAACGTAAGTATAAAACATTAACAAGCTCAAGTTTTCATATCCTGAAGATAATGACTCAAATGAACAAATATGCTCTAAAACCAAACTTCTATAGGTTTGACATCTTTACTCCATTTTTCCCTAACAAGGAACAGAAGAATAAATTCATTACTATTTTGGAAATGCAAGTTATTATTAGCCCCACAGTTAAAGCAAGGGACTTCCATAAAGCAAAAGCAAAGCATCAGAAAACTAAAATGAAATAATTTAGAGAATACAGAGTGCTAGTAATTTTAATTAAGCCCCACTGGAAGTCTACATGATAGCTAGACTTACAACAATTTATCTACTGATGAGGATAATGAGAACAGGACCTGAAAAATGTCTCTGTATACTCTTTCTTGGTTTTGGCACATGACACAATGGACCTCACTAGTAGGATTTCTTTTCTTCTTTAATTCAAAAACATTTGAGTTAAAACATTACTTTCTCCTAAATTGCCCTATGAGCTATTTTTATAATTGGTTTTAATTTCTACCAAATTAATACATACACATAGTTTAAAAAGCTAAAAATTTCTACAAACTTTACTAGAAAAACGGCAGTACCCTTTTCTACCCTTCCTTACCACTTAATTTAAATCCCCAGAAGAAATCACTATCAATTCTCCTAAGTTTCTACTGTGACAGGTAGTTATTTCTACCTAAAATATGCATTATGTTTAACTTATCTGTTTTAAACATTGTTTACTGATTTCCTATTTAGAAAGAAGACATTTTAGTATACATGTGCATTCCACATAGCCTCCATTTATCTCTTTCTAAAAGAGCAACATCACAACATTTGGTAAAATCAATATTTATTTTACTTTATTACAACTACATAAGTATACAGGGACTTTTGGTTTGATTTGGTCTTGGTTTTTTAACTGCTCAGTCACTCTGATTACATTTTATTTTCTTTAAAACATTACATTTTTTTCTGCAGTAAACTCTGCTTTTGCTCACTTGCTTAATTTTTTTTTACCCTATCCCTATTTCCTAGCAAATACTTCAAACTGATTGAGAAAACCTCTATGTATACATCTGTCATTTCTTTTCCTTTATTTCCCCCTCCAATTTTTTTCTACTACCATCCTCCTGCTCTAGGCTGGTTATTCTTTTTTTTTTTTAATAATGCTATTGTATTTTTTAATACCTTTATTTTATTATTTATTTATTTTTATGTGGTGCTGAGGATCGAACCCAGGGCCTCACACATGCTAGGCAAGTGTTCTACCACTGAGTTATAACCAGAGCCCTAGGCTGATTATTCTTGAGGCTTGCTTCCTATCATCCCAGAACTTCCCTTCACCTCTCTTCTGTGTTGATGTCCTATTTCCTGATTCTCATTCCTTCTTATGTTGCACAAAAGCTAAGTATTTTGAGACCATGTTATGGCTCAAAAAGTATTTATTCCTTTCTCACTCTTTTTTTATTTTTTATTTTATTTTCTTTTTAGTTGTTGATAAACCTTTATTTTTTTATTTTTCTTATATGCAGTGCTGAGAATCAAACCCAGTGCCTCACACATGCAAGGCAAGTGCTCTACCATTGAGCTACAACCCCAGCCCCTCCTTTCTCACTCTTGAGACACAGTTTTGTTAAAAATAGAATTAAAAAGTTGATTTTTTTTCCATTGAAACTTTGAAATCGTCACTGTTATTCCAATTTCAACTGTTACAGTTAAGAATGTTTAATGCCATTTGGTTTCTCTATCTTTAGTAAGTGATCATTTTTTTCCTTCTCAAATCTTCTACAATTTTATCTTTGCTTTGCTGAAATGATAACAATGAGCTTGGAGAGCCATTTCTATTCAACCTTTCAACTTAATAACCCACATCCTTCAATGATATGCTCTGATATTATTCTTTGATGATTTCCCTAGAAACCACAGTATTCATATTAAACATAAAAATGCTACAGGGACACTGCTACATAGATGTTCATAGCAGCACAATTCACAATAGCAAGACTGTGGAACCAACCTAGATGCCCTTCAATAGACGAATGGATAAAAAAAAATGTGGCATTTATACACAATGGAGTATTACTCTGCATTAAAAAATGACAAAATCATAGAATTTGCAGGGAAATGGATGGCATTAGAGCAGATTATGCTAAGTGAAGCTAGCCAATCCCTAAAAAACAAATGCCAAATGTCTTCTTTGATATAAGGAGAGTAACTAAGAACAGAGTAGGGACGAAGAGCATGAGAAGAAGATTAACATTAAACAGGGATGAGAGGTGGGAGGGAAAGGGAGAGAGAAGGGAAAATGCATGGAAATGGAAGGAGACCCTCAGGGTTATACAAAATTACATACAAGAGGAAGTGGGGGGAAAGGGAAAAAATACAAGGGGGAGAAATGAATTACAGTAGAGGGGGTAGAGAGAGAAGAGAAGAGGGGAGGGGAGGGGAGGGGAGGGGGGATAGTAGAGGATAGGAAAGGCAGCAGAATACAACAGACACTAGTATGGCAATATGTAAATCAATGGATGTGTAACTGATGTGATTCTGCAATCTGTATACGGGGTAAAAATGGGAGTTCATAACCCACTTGAATCAAAGTGTGAAATATGATATATCAAGAACTATGTAATGTTTTGAACAACCAACAATAAAAATTTTTAAAAAATGTTTAAAGATGATCAATACTGTTACCTAAGAGGTGGATTTATCACAAAGGTAGTAAAACTTAAATTTCAAGGACCCTCACTTGCTCAATCTCCTTCAAGCCTGGCAAAGTCCTAGCAATGTGTTCACTTTGCCATAGTTTTATAAAATTTGCAAATAAGGCATTTTAATTACAGTTGATAAATTCCCTGTCTCTTCCTCCAATTTACACTCCTCATATTTTGCCTTAGAAAACTGAAATGGCTTTGGGCATTTTGGGGATCTAAGGAAAAGTTGAGTTAAGAATACATCTAGGTTAAACATAGGGGGACATGTTTACAAGGTTTTCTTGAATTACTGATGTTAATAATTGGCATGACTAGAATTTTCAGTCAGCTTGCCTGATCTTAACATCTCATTATACAGTCAGCCTTCCTTCAGCAGTGATTTCCTTTCTTGGCAGACAAAGGAAGGAATAGGAAGAAGAGAAAAGGAGGCAATATATCTTTATATTTTTTAATATCTGAACCATATTACTGAATTTAATTTTCAAAAAACAATTTTTAAAGGATTGAAAACTCTAAAACCTGCCTGAGAGTTATATAGTTGATATAAGATTTCAGTGGCATCCAACATCTAACATGGTGTTAATAAAGACTTACACTGACTAAAATTTGCTTGTCCATGTTCCAGAAAGATATAGAGCTGAAGAAGAAGTTGTGGGCAGCCTTCCAGGTAGGTCTCAAATAGCCTGAGCATGCTCAAATCAGTCACTCTATCTATAACTTCTTTATGTTGATCAATTTGCTCTTTGGTGAAGCTATTCGTTTTGCTATTACATTTGAAAGCCACATGGTAACCCTTTTTCAAGGCAAACCAATACCTGTAAAGTAAACATGAACATTTAACTTCAATCATACATTTTTATAAATTTAAATTTATTTTAAATTAAATATAAAAATATGCATTTAAGGAGTATCATGAGTATTTCAATAAAAATATACCACTATATAATGTTTAAATCAGGTTAAACATATCATTTCCTCAAATCCTTATCATTTCTTTATGGTGAAAACATTCAAAACCTTTCTTTTAGCTTTTTGAAATATAAAGTACATTAGTGTTATCTATAGTCCTTCTACCATGCAATAGTACACAAAAACTTCTTACTCCTCCCTAAATATTCACCAGGTTGTTCAGACAAAAATGTGGGACTTCCTCAGATCCTATAAAAATTCAGGTCTCTATTCAATTATCACTTCTTCTTAGAATTCTCAGATCACACAATCTAAAATAGTACTCTCCATCACATTCTATATCTTTATTATTTTTCTTTGTAATACCACAACACAATATTTATTTTTGTTATCTTTACTTTCTCAAAAAATGTAATCTACATGAAAAGAGAGAATTTGATTTGTGCATTGATACAAACTAAACAACTAGAACAATACCTGGCACGTGGCAGGTGCTCTAAAACATTTACTGAATGAATAAATGAAAGCTCATCACACTTTTTCCATAAAAAGACAGTAGAAAATAGCCAAAGCAAAACTGAAAAAAAGAACAAAACTGGAGGCATCACAATACCAGATTTCAGGACACAAGAGTTGTATTAATAAAACCAACATGATAATTGTCATGAAGACAGAAACACTGACCAATGAAGCAAAAGAAAGAACTGATCAGTCAACTGATCTCTTGACAAAAATACACATGAAGAAAAGGCATTCTCTTCAATAAATGGTGCTTAGAAAATTGGATATCCATATACAGGAGACCCCTATCTCTCTACCTATACAAAACCCAACTCCAAATGGATCAAAACCCTAATGTAAGAGCTCAAATTTTGAAACTACTGAGAAAAACATAAAATGCTTCAAGACATCAGCACAGTCAATAATTTTCTGGATAAGCTCCAAAAGCACATGAAGCAAAAAGAATTGGCAAATGGGATTGCATCCAATTAAAAAGCTTCTACACAGCAAATAAAGCAATCAACAGAGTAGCAACTATCTACAGAAAGGGAGAAAATCTTTACCTGCTATTCATTAGACAAAGGATTAATAGAATATTATAAAGAACTAAAAAAATAATAACAAAATGTACTCAAATCAAAAAATGGACAAATAATTTGAACAGAATCTCAAAATAAAAAATACAATTTTGACAATAAATATATAAAAATGCTCAATATCTTTAGCCATCAGGGAAATGTAAATTGAAATTACAATAAGATATATTCTCATTCCAGTGAGAATGACCGTTAACAAACAAACAAATGCTAGCAAGGATGTGGAAAAATAAAATGCCATCTACACTATTGGAGATTATATAAATTATAATAACCACTGTGGAAAACTATATGGAGTTTCCTCAAAAAACTAAAAAACAGAACTACCATATGTTTATTGCTGCATTATTCATGATAACCAAGATATTGGATCAGTCTACATGACCATAAATAGTTGCACAGATAAAGAAAACATGAGATATATATATATATATATATATATATATATATATATACACACACATACATACACACACACACATACATACACACACACACACACAATAGAGCCCTACAGAATGAAATTCTGTCCTTGCAGGAAAAATGGATTGAACTGGAGGATATCACAACATTAAGTGAAATAAGTCACACACAGAAAGCCAAGTATCACATGGTATCTTTTATATGTGGAAACTAAAAAAAAAAAGATGATCTAAAAGTAAGAGAGAAATTATTAGGAACTAAGAAGGGAACGAGAGGGAAGGGAGAGAAGGTAGAAAAAGGTGAATGCACAATATAGGCCTGTATGAAAATATCATAGTGAATCCCATGAATTTGTATAATTAATATGGGTTAATGACCATAATAAATTTAAAAATTAGAAGAAATTAGTAAGTATGGAAGGACTGTGGAACGTTCAAAGTAAAAGTAAGACACTAAAACAAGTTATTCCTATTATAAACAAAATATGTACATACATATATGGATATACAAAGATTCTAAGCTGGCAAATAAAAGTATATTTTTGCCATTACATTTTTGGAATAGCATAATCTACTAGGTATCGGCTAGATGCCAGGGTAGAAACAAATGTCTACAAAAATGATGAAGGCATGGTCTCTATTTCAATGATCTTACAACCTAATTGGAATGCCAAATCTATGAAATACTAGTTGCAATACAAGGCAGAAGAAATGAGTACTGATTAAGAAATATAAATACAATATTGTGAAAAAAGAAGAAAAATGATTAATATTGTCTAGTATTTATCCGCAAGATTTATGGGGAAGTTGTGCTTAAGTCTTTGGGGGCATATATCACAATAGAGAATATGTGATTCCTGTTCTTTGATATGGTTTATAAACCAACAGATAGATACTATTAAAATTTTTGAAAAATTCATAAATATTAACAGTTACATACCCAGAGAATAATTAGTATAGGCAGCATAAACTGGGAGAAGAAGCAGCAGAGCACAGTAGCTAAAGAGTACAGACCGCCAGGGATGGTGAAATGTGCCTCAAGTCCTAGATAATTAGAAGGTTGAGGTGTAAGGATCACTTGAATCTAGGAGTTCAAAACCAGCCTGAGCAACACAGGGAGACTCCCATCTCAAAAAGTAAGTAATAAAAGAGTACTCTAATAGTACCAGAATGCCTGGATTCAAATCCTGGCTTTCCTTCTTCCTAGCTTAATTTCTTTTTGCTTCAGTTTCCTAATTGGAAAATGGAGCTAATCATCATATCCACTCTCACTGGACTGATAGATTATTAAATGGATTAATTTATTTATATATAAAATGCTTAGACATAGCACAAGTTAAGTACTATGTAAGTGTTCATTTAAAAACAAAACTGGGCTATTTACAAATGTTCACATTCAAATTTCCAGTGACTTCAGGGAATAATTTAGCCCAACATCATAATAATAAATGGCAAATCTACAGGAAGTTCTGCTTTTCTGAGGATAACTTCATGGGGAAGGGAAATATGAATATAATTTTTTTAATCAACAGAGCATTGTTTCAGGGACAAATGGTGAACAAGCCAAAGAAAAGAAACAGAGGGTGCTTACCTAGCATTGTTTATCCCTACATACTATTTTATTTGAGACAAAAAATTAACAGCATCCAGGTGCTGCGCCCCTCCCCTGACTCAGGCAATGGCAAGGCCCTACTGAGGTGGATGGTGCAAGGCATCCATCCTCTGGAGGAGCGCAGTATGTTTCTGGGAATGGGCTGGTTTGTTTTTGTATTCCTTTAATAAGTATAGTTGCAACTTCTCATATGACCATTAAGTATGAAGGAAAAAAAACATGACTTTCCCAATTAATGCAACTACTTCTAAAGAATAGATCTGTTTGCTCTAAATGCAATGATTCAGCTGTGGAATATAAATTGTTAATGTCAAATGAAAAACTCCCTGTATTCCTGTCAAGGAAGTTTTTGAGAAATTAAATTAAAATCTAGAGAAGAAGAATTAATGTTAAGAAGATAGATTAGTGCTTAGTACTGGGCAACTCGTTCTTGTTCCTGTGCACAATGGTTTGTGCTCTTACTCTTGTTTGATTAAAATTAATAACAAGTTAACCACTTGCCGTAACCATGGCACCAGTTCTAGTCAATAAGTCAAGAAAGAATAGTCAAGGTATAGGCCAATAGTCTGGGACATTTCTAACTATTATTAAAAGTTAACTAAACAGAAACAGCTCAAAGCAAAATTCGAACTGAAAGGAAAAATGCTTGCTTATGCCTAAGCCAAGAGACATTCTTCTTATCTAATTGTAGCTAGGTAATATTTTGTTTCTTTGAATAATGATTCCTGTTTTGTAACCACAAAGTACTGTGAGCCTGCCAAAATGAAAAGTATATATGATCAACTTCACAAGTAAAGATTGGGATCAGCACCTTCACTTTGGTGTCTGTGTTGTTTTTCCACCCGCCTTTCACCGACTCCTCACCATCCGTTCTCTCCTGAGACCCCCTGTTGGAGCTGGACTCCGACATCCAGGAATGACGAATTATCTTTTATCAGGCAAAAGTTTCTACTGATATGAAACAATAAATTCTGGACAAAATTTTTTTCAAAGGTACACAAGAACAACTGAAAGTAGGACAAAACTTGAAGGCACTCAACACTTAAAAGAAGAAAACCATATTACATGAGGTTGCACATTTGTCTAGCTTTTCTTCTAAAGGCACAGCACAATCTAAATGGCACAAAGGAAATATATAACCTTATTTGCCCAAAGAGTTAGAGGACTGAGTTTGAGTTTACCATAGTGGTTAGAAACTAAGGAATAATCTTCCAAAACAAGGAGTCACAGAATAGAGACTGCCAAAATCTGCATATACTTTTTTCAAATCTTTGGCTAATCCCTTATTGTGCATATGTGAAGCAAGACTAAAGAAATTGAGGGGGAGTAGGGAAACAGAAGGAATCTTAGCAGAGATTTAACCAGTTATCTACCATAGGTAGTTTAGAATTTTAATCTCAGCAAATTTAAGGGGATTAGTAATAATCTCAGGCATTCCTCAGGAACCTCATAATTGCCATGTCTTAGAAGTAAAAACCATATCTCAGAACCATGAGATATTCCCCTAAGACTAAGGCCAAACGCAAAAAAGACCTTCCCTTTTACATTCTATATGAAGCCTCTGTAAAACATCAAAGGAATTTGCCACTAATTTAACTGTCTTCTTTCTTATCAGAAGATAAAGAAAAACCTGTGTCTCTACAAATTATCACTTACATATAATATCTACAACACAATAAAAAATTACTTGACATACAAATAAACAGGAATATGAGACTCACAACAAAGATTTTTTAAAAAGTTAACAGAATCTGTTAAAAGAAACATACCTATTG